GAACTTACAGAGATCCACTTGCCTCTGCTTCCTGAGTGCTGGGATTAAAGTTGTGTGCCACCACCACCCAGCTTACACAATACATTTTTTAAGTGTTTGAAATACGACAGACCAAGTCCGATGGTGCATGCCTTTAACCCCAGCACATAAAAGGTATGTCGGTGGGGGAGGGGGAGGGAAAGGGGAGGCGGCGGTGGGGAAGAGACAGAAATCTTTAATTAATTAATAAAGAAATAAATAAATTTAAAAAAAGGTAGGTCGGTTCATTTAAAGTCATCTGGTGCACACAGTGAGTTTCGGGGTCAGGCAGGGTTGACAGTGAGACCTTATCTAAGTTTCTAGAAAGCCACAGCTTGACCTGTCTGCTGTGCACACAATGGAAGGCTCCTGCCTCTGTTCTCTGAAGAACTCCTTTGAGGAAGAAAGGAGTTAAAAGGGGCCAAAGAAACTGCAATCTCACAGAGGAGTGTTCAGTCTTGAACACATGGCTGAACAGATGACAACTCAGGTTGCTCCAAAGTCTGGCCCCAGCACCAGACTAGCTAGGCCCACAGGCCCATGTAACAGGAGCAGGACTTGTGGGGCCCTCCTGTGAAATCCTCCAGACTTTTCTCACCAGGAAGTCAGAGGCCAATGGCTCCTCCCTTCCTGCTTCCCCAGGCCAGAGATGTCCCCTCTCTACTATAACACCTGAATGACAGCACATCAGGCCTCAAAGTCTACTGCCTGTTTTATGTGCTGGCTGCTTTTCCCTCTTGGGGCAGGGAGCCTCAAGCCTCACAGGCATTTCCTCCTGGGGTAGCAGCCACTCTTTACCTCCATCCTACCTATAGGCAAAAGGTGAAGCGCCAACTGGGTGCTGGTGCGTAGTGGCACAGACTTGCTCACCTGGCATCCTGGGTAGCACCAGAGACAGTCCAAGAAAGAATACCAAGCACCTGGCAGCACTGAGGAAGGCGGAGATGGAAGGTTCACCCATATGCTCTGGCTTGTGCCTGTTGAATACCTTCAATGGATGCCACTTCTTAAAGTACACCCAAGGGGGGCTGGTGAGATGGCCAAGAGGTTGCTGCTCTTCCAAAGCACCCAAGTTTGGTTCCCAACACTCATGTCAGGTAGCTCACAACATTCTGGAAACTGGGCTTATTATTCAATCCTTTCAGCTACGATCTAGGGCAAGGAAAACCACTCCAAAACAGAAGGTGCCCTGCAGTGTTTGTGGCATGGGGACAGGTGGGCCGGGATGGCACCAATACCACCTGGTTCAAGAGGCCTCTCATTTGCCCCCAGATACCCAGAGAGGCCCTATCTACTTTTGTAGCTCTAGGCAAAGTATGCCAGGACCATGAACAGGACTGCAGCTGTGGCAGACAGCTATGTGGGAGTTTGGATAGAGGGACAACTATCAGCCCACTAGTACCCCTGGGGACGACTATCAGCCCACTAGTACCCCTGGGAGCTCTGCAGGCAGACTGTCAGTCTCACAAAGCAGACCTATCACCCCAGAGAACCCCGGGTCCATGTCCACCCCCACAGCAGGTCCACAGATAACATTAGCAAAGTGACTGCTCTCTCTGACTTCACTGTCCTCAGCATGCCTGCATTTCAAGTTGCTAAGGGCACGATCCCTGCTCTCCCAGGACCTACAGCCTTCTTGAAGGACCCCTGTACTCGGGTACCGAGGCAAGCAGCTGCTTCCTGGCGTTCACCTGACAGAAATTTAGCTGCCTATTATTGACCATCCACTCATGACTGACAAGTGACAAAGAGAGATGTCCCCGTACCCAGTGGTCATCAACCAGCTCAACAGGGATTCCTGCAGCTTTAAAGCATAAACAACCCCAGAGCAATAGCAAACGGCACCTTCATCTGATGCAATGCCTAGCACCACAAGTCCAAGAGTAGGGACAGGACCCACTGTTACCCAGCAGGGGCTACGTCCCCCCAGAGCACTGTTCCTGCCAGGGTCTGCCCTCCAGGGACAAGAAACAGGAAACAGGCATACTTGTGAGCCAATCATTTGACTTGAAGAAGCACACAGAAATATGACTTAAATGCCACCGTGAAACAGCAGCACCACAAGTTTTTATGCCAAGCTCAACACTGTGGCAATGGCAGGGGGAGGAGGGAAGGGGAGGGGTTACTGGTGTGAGTGGGCCGGTAGGTAGGCACTGAAGCCTGCTACAACCTTTACTACTGAATATAGCCCAGGAGTAAGGTACACAGGGTGACGAAGATGATTACAGCGAGCACCTCGTGAGAATGCACACGGCACTGCCAGGGTGTTCCATTCCCTTTAGGAAGGTCTACCTTGGACTGCAGGCCCAGAATAGCAACTAAAACCAAGTTGTCTTTTGGAAACAATAGCTGTGTCAGTTCAACTGAAAATAACCACACAGACACACGAGCTCTAGATCGCAGAGCTTGGCTGTTCCCTGATCCCCACAAATCAAGCACAGGGCCACCCTCTCAGGCCTCCCAGCTTTGTGGCCTTCTAGAACTATTGGCAGTGGCTGCACAGGAGTCCCACAGGCCCATATAATCAAACATGTAAGAAACCACCACAAACCCAAGGGACTGTTCTCCTGCCTGTGGCTTGATTGTTTCTCTCTATACCAGAAAACAAGACAGGATCATTTCCAGCAAGGACACAAACCTGGGATACCATGGATCTTGTCTTGGTGTAGGGACAGGTACCCTACTCTCTGAAGCTTACGTGTGAACACCAGCCAGGACCTTACCTCAGGCAACAGATTTCAGACCAAGGCTGGTGTGGGCTTCCCTTCTCACAGAAGGTGCTACCAGACTGCAGCTAGGTCTGGACTACCCACCTTAACTGGAGAGACACTACTCTGATGTGAACCACTCATGGAGTGCAGCCTGGGCTCAGATACTCATCCCCATCACTCAGGTTTGGCTATGGTACCTCCTTATTACTCAGGGAATGATGGGAAAAGCAAACACTATTCAGAGACCTCAGATGGGAGACTGCCTTACCAAATCTTTCCAGGTCAAACCCCTGGCAAACAGTGTGAGGGCAGAGGGGCGAAGGGAGGAACCTATCATCATACACTAAGGTCCATGAAGGAGCCCAAGTTTGTCAGGGACACTTTTGTCACAGCTCTGAAATCCCTAACTCTGCCTTCGGATGGGACACACAATGACACAGGAAGAGACTGGGAACACCTTTCACAGTTTTGTAGGTTGTCATAGGGTTGCCAACACAAACCTAGGAATACCTGGGAGGAGACAATCCCCATTGAGGAACTGCCTCCATCAGGCTGGCCTAGGGATGTCTGTGTGGCATTTTCTTGATTGGTAACTGATGTAGGAGGGTCCACCCTGTGTAAAAACAAACAAACAAACAAACAAAGGCAGCAGAGTGAGTGGGGGAAGAAGCAAGATGAAGTGGCATTACCCCACTGTCTCCGCTTCAGTTGGTGTCCCTCAGTGGTGGACTGTAATCTGTAAGCCAAACAAACCCTTTCTTTCCCAAGTTGCATTTGGTCGTGGTTTTTATTGATCGTGGTTTTTGATTTATCACAGCAACACAAAGCATAGAACACCAACGATAACAGATAGCAGAAATGCCCTCAAGAATTGCACCTCAGACACAGGAAAGGCCCCACGCCCGCAAGGTACAAGCTTATTGCAAAGGAATCAGTGAGAAATAAGAGGGTGCTGGGCATGACTGCTTCCCAGCTAGGGCTGGTGACTTGGCCACAGCCACAACACTGGAGACAACACTAGCTTTCCACACGTGGTACTGAACATAGGTAGCCAACCATAAAATGAGACCATAGACAGGCTCAAGTCTCCAAGACCAAAACCATTTCACTAAAACCAGAATCAACCAGACTCAATCTGTAAAGGTTTACCCAAGTCAACTAACTCTTAACAGAAAAAAAATTATTTTAATACTTTCTTCTTCAAAATAACAATCATAGTTTCAAACAATCTAGAAGTAAATTTTATGTTATTGTTTAATATTGCCTAAAGAAATCTGGGCCTGAAAAATCTGACTAGAGATTGCACTGCAGGAATGCATTGCAGGAATATACTTAGATCATCAGGTCAAAAGGTCACACTAAAAAATATTATCTTTGGCATGCATACACACATTCACATGTGTGTACACAGTACCTGCACATACTCCCATATCCACATATAGGTACACCCCATGTCTACACACACGTGCCTGCAGATGCTTGTGTGCACACATGAACACCTGCACAGGTCCCCTCACTCACCATGTGTCTGCACATCTACTTCTGAGCTTTTTTTTAATACCGCCCATCCTGTGCTCCTTGGGATCCACGAGTCATCATGCACTGAATCACTTGACACCTCCTGCATGAAGCCCCAGCAGGAACCAGTACAACACCTGGTCTTCATGCTGCCGGAGGCCTGAGAGGCAATGTGAGATGAGCAGCCTTCCCAGCACAGTTGGTGAAGGCACGGTAGGCACCCACACACTGGAGGACTCAGAAAGCAGTGCGTGTAAGCAGAGCCTGCTGCAGCCAGAAGGCCTCAGATCCCCACCACAGCCTTGTACCTGAAACATCCTAATAAAACCCACTGCTGTGGCATGGTGCACAGAAGGCAGGGGTGCGTCTTAGCTGTCACGCCACATGGCCTAGAGAGCTGCTGCCTGACACCTAAGGTGCTGTACTTCTCGTCCAAACTCTGAGTTCTGAGACGGTCTCCAGGACAGGCCATGCTGACCCATCACAGCACAAGTTGCATAGAAATGCAGCTTCCTGCCTCTACAATGGATCTTCCAGTGCTTCACGAAAAATAATCAAATTCCAAGGCAACACAAAAGTCATGTGCAGCCCTGGAGGCCAGGACCTGGGGACACTATCAGCAGAAGGAGTTGTGACAACCACACACATGGCTAACAGAAAGCCAGCTCATTACTTTATTACATTTCAGTGCTTTCTTAAAATAAATATAACATCAAGTGCACAGTGAGAAATGAAGACACAGGGGACAGCTGGTGACAGGTGGCCAGACTTTAATGCTCGTACAACACGGTGCCACCCCAACTGAATGAAGAGGAAGATGACAACCTCACCTCCTCTGGTTTCTGTCCCAGGCTCCTTTCCTGTCTGCCTGGGTGGCCAACACTTGTCTAATGTTCCTCCATTACCTTCGCTTCCCTCCTGCAGTTCAGATTCAAGTAACACTCTCAAAAAGAAATGTGCAAAACTAAACGTGGCTCCAGGGTCTTCTCACAACTGATCCATCGCTGGGCACCTCTGCTCCCCAGGAATGTCTGTTCTGACAGAGTCACCACAGGGACCCGGGGAAAAGGACCCGAAGCAGCTACACCATTCTGAAATAACTGCAAATAACCAAGTTTTTAAAGAGGCAACCAAGAAGAATTACCAACCTCACCTGAGACTGCACACCCGGCTGAGCATGTGCTCCTCCAGAAGCAAGAACTATGGTAGGCAAGCCAGGACATGACAGCACCACAAAGGAGCCGGCGGCCAAAGGGGGAGAGTACACTACTATACCAAAATCTGCCTTTATTAAAGTGAACAAATAAGCACATTCCCACACCTAACCAGTGGTGGTTGAAGCTGGCTTAGGCTGCCTGCTTCCAACGAGGCCAGCATCAGCTAGCAGTACCCCACAACCCTCCCAACTGTGTGGCAGAAATAATCACTCCAAATATGTAAACGTCATTTTAGCAGAAGACAAACTTTGCTGATTTCAGTGCTTTTAGTGAACTGATATTTTCAGTAAACTTTTTCTGAGCAGCAAGGAACAGGATTTTTTTTTTCTTTCAGAAATCTTAGAACTGGATATAAAGGTTGGCAGTAGACACAGTCAATAAATATCATACAATTTCTAAAATGAAAAAGATTTCCCATACGAACTCCTTTTATGAAGACATTCAAACACCCTGACCCGAGAACAAGCCTCGGCCCTATAATCACGCACGATTACAGCTGGCCAACATGGGGCATCAGGCAATGTGCAAAGGAGTGGGTGAAGGGAGGCCAGAGAGCAGATCACATTTAACTTATCCTGAAGAACTTCAAGTGAGGGTTCACAGCCCAGGACCTCACTCCACGATGTCCCTTATTCTGGGGATCTCAGCGGTCTGCAGGGCGACAGCAGCTGTGCCCATGAAAAACAGCACTCACTCCTGTATTCTCCGTGCCCAGCGTCCATGCGTGCAGGGGTGAGAGGATCTTCTCTGTTCTGTAGGAACCTCTGTAAACACTGTCTGTGGCTCCTCACATTTCGTACCGAATGAATGAAAATAATAAATAAGAATCCCGTCAGCACATCCTCTCAGTCCTGGTTGCCACAGTCACTTACGAGTCTGGGTCTTCTTTGGCACTGTGGGCCGCTTGGGCTGCCACAAGTGGTTATGGATTGTGAGTGCATCCACGCTGACGGACATGGTCTTGGCTGGGATCAGGTTAAACTGCTTTCGGTCTGAGCTGTATTTATACAGTTTGTCAATCATCTTCTTGGTGATACTCTTTGGCCCTGTGCCAGTGAGTTTGTAGATTTCTTCAGTGTCAGGCTGGTAGCAGTACAGCGCCCTGAACTGGCACCCCGCATCTCGAAACAGAATGATGTAGTGGTTGGCATCACATTTCTCCAGCTCCTGGGGAAGGGGAGGAGAGGGAAACACGGAATGACACTGACACTCTGACACCCAGGTCGTCATAACTGCCTAATGGGAGGTATTATTTCAAGGCATAAGTATCTAAGAGCACCCATTTCTTTTTTTTAAAAAAATATTTATTTATTTATTATGTATACAATATTCTGTGTGTATGCCTGAAGGCCAGAAGAGGGCGCCAGACCTCTTTACAGATGGTTGTGAGCCACCATGTGGTTGCTGGGAATTGAACTCAGGACCTTTGGAAGAGCAGGCAATGCTCTTAACCACTAAGCCATCTCTCCAGCCCAATAGCACCCATTTCTAAAAAAAAGTGTGGTGGCACATGCCTTTAATCCCAGCACTCAGGAAGCAGAGGGAGACAGAGCACTCTAGATTCAAGGCCAGCCTGGTCTACAGAATGAATTCTAGGACAGTCAGGGTTACACACAGAGAAACCCTGTCACAAACAAACAAACCTTTAAGACATCAAAGAAGAAACAGAAAAAGAACAGAGATGAAAGCCCTTCTGTGCTCCTGGACTGGCGGTAGGATTAACACTGTGAGAGTGGCCATCCTACCAAAAACAACCTACAGATTCAATGCAATTCCAATCAACACTCCAGTGACACTTTCCACAGAAATAGAAAACATAATTACTGTGGGATAATGCTCTTGTACACTGTAAATATTTGTCACTCGTATTAGTTTAATAAAATGCTGATTGGCCAGTAGCCAGGCAGGAAGTATAGGTGAGTGACCAGACTAGGAGAATTCTGGGAAGAGGAAAGGCAGAGACAAAGTCACCAGACACAAAGGAAGTATGATAAAAATGCCTTACTCATAAAAGGTACCAAGCCATGTGGCTAAACATAGACAAGAATTATGGGTTAATTTAATGAGCTAGTTAATAATAAGCATGAGCTAAGAGGCCAAACAGTTTATAATTAATATAAGCCTCTGTGTGTTTCTTTGAGACTGAACAGCTGAGGGACCAGGCAGGACAGAAACTTCCATCTACAAATAATCTTAAAATTCATATGGAAGTACCAAAGACCCTAGATAAAAAAGCAATCCTGAATGAAAAAAGAAGGTACCTTATATCTGACTTCAAAGCACTTCAAAACACGTGGTATGGTAAACACCAAGATAGACAAAGACCATCAGAGAAGAGAAGAAGCAGATATAAGGCTACACAGCTACAACCATGTGCTGTTCTAATAAAAAAAATTAATGTGTATGAGTGTTTTGTTTGTATACATGTATGCATGTGTACCATATGTATGTCTGGTATCCAAGGAGTACTGGGTCCCCTGGAATCAGAGTTACAGATAGTTGAAAGCTATCATGTAGGTGCAGGGATATCATGTAGGTTCTCTATAAGAACAAAAAAGTGCTCCTAACTTCTGACCCATCTCCCCAGTCTTTAATTAAGAAGAAAAAAAAAAAAAGTAAAGACATACAGCAAAGCCTTACTGAAACCCACTAATTTGTATGTTAATTAGAAAATACGACTTTTGTTTTAAAGCGTGGACAATGTTGCTCCCAAAAACACATGCATTATTAAACAAAAAATCTGTGCCAGGCATGGAATACTTCCTTACAAGTATTTGATCAAGGGTCCCAAAGACCTCAGAACACAGCCTGTTGCCATTGTCCTGGTTGCCTACTATAACTAGACAATAAGACCTTAACTGCTGATGACACAACACACTTTGATTGCATGGAAATAAAGCAATAAACAGAAATAAAGAAACTGAAATAAAGAAAACTTCCTCCCTGCTGGATAGCTTTCATTGTGCTAGGAGATGCTACTGGTCATTGGGGAAGAAAAGACCTTAATGGTCTTACTCAATGCTGGAACTGGATGCTTTAATACCTACCTACAGGGCAAGATGTGCCCACTGATGGAACAGTGGCAAGACTACTAGGGGAGCAACCAAATATTTTCTGATCAAGATCAAGCCAGTCAACATTCCAGCATGAATAGGAAGGGACTCACAAGACCCAACTTCTAGCTAAGGCGCTATCAGTCAGTGATGACAGCTGGAATATAGTCATTTTCCTTTACAGGTGTGGCCACTGAAGGTTGCTCGTGCTCTAGTGATGGCACCATGGCCATGCACACATGGAAAACACTGATTAGACTCAGCGGGATATTCAAAGAAGAGGGAGAAGGAAGAGATGGAATTGGGATGAAATGTGGGGTGAGAAGTGGTATAATCAAAATACACTGTATGAAATTCTCAGAGAAAATATTTTAAGATTATATATAAAAAGAGACAAGAAGAGAGGAGAAGGGAGAAGGAGAAAGGGGGGATGCAAAAGAGATAAAGGGATGGGTGGTGGGAGAAAACAAGTTCTTCCAGGGGTACCAATTTTACTATTAAAAACAAGCAAATGAGGAAGAGGGCTTGGTAGTAAATACTAAAACACAATTTCTGATGAAAGACAGAACACTGTTCTGTATTTTTCTGGTACCCCAAGGTCAGCAACACATTCATAAACCCCCCTGAAATATGGGGCCACTTGCTTTCATAGCTTTCTCTTACAAGAATTCCATTCCTGCCAAGTTAAGGAACCATGCTAGAACTCATCCCTAATTTTCAGGTGTCTACAGCCAGAGACCCTGGGTATGCATCTTGCTCAAGGTCAGCTTATGGTTCAGAGAACTCTACCATTCCCCCCTCCACTAACTGTGCCCTGAGCCAGCATAGCACCTCCTCTATTACAGGCAGGACCCAAAGTCACTCCTAACTCAGGTGTCATCTGCTCTCTATGAAATCAGGTCGCTCTCCAGGCTCTGCCCTCTAAAGGTATGCAGAAGCATACTCCTCCCCCTCAAGCTCCCTCCAGAGGCCCTGCTCCTCATTCATCTGCTCTCTGACCCTCTGAGGGGTCAATCAGTTCTTGTCTTCCTCTGCTCATATCCATACCATCATTTTACTCAGGGTAAAGCCAGTCTTGGTCTTGCTTTGACTCACAGAGGCCCAGTGCCCTGTGACCTCTGACCAGACCCTGAACCCAGAGTCCCTCTCTCACCTGCCCTTGAACTGCACACCCTGTCTTTCCTGCAACCGCTGTTCTGAAGACCTATGGGCTCAACCTCTGGGCACTGTGCCTAGGGAAGCTCTACCCAGGCCCTGCTGCTGCTGCTGCTGCTGCTGCTCTTTTTCCATTACCTTGCTTGCTGTCTGAAGCCCAAACGCTGTGAATCCAAGTCTGATGAAATCAGATGTCCACACTCACCTCTCAAGCCTGGCTTTCTTCTTGCATGACCCACAGAGCCAATATGGATTCCACCACCCTAGATAGTAGCCCACTCGATGTACCTGTCCCCCCTGGTCACTGCACACTGTTCGCCAATATCACTCTGTAAGCACTCACTGTGCAGATGTGGGCCTCCCTCCTCACCACCCAGACTGAAAGCTCCCAAATGGAAAGCATGTCAAACCCTGACTCTGACCCGCACTTTTTCATTGCCTTCTGCACCCTTACATTTGGTAATGCTACTACCTTTCCTTGTTCTTTTGTTGAGACAAAGTCTTACACTACAATCAGGCTAGCCTCAAACTCACAGTAGTCCTCCTGCCTCAGCCTCTAAGTGCTGAGATTACAGACATGAGCTGCTGTACCCAGACCTAGAAGGGAAGGTGACAACACAGTAAAGACAAGCCACATTTCACCTGACACAACTTTTAAGCTCTTGGTGACTCAGGTGCCCAAAGTGCTTCCAAGGCCTGCCCTTCTCTCTAATGCCTGTCTCCAACCATGGGCACTCACTAGCAGGACAGCAGGGTCACCTGCTTCCTTTCTGTCTCAAGTACACCAAACTATTTACATTTGCTCTTCACTTAAAAACATCTGATCTACTCTTGGGGGAGAATGTGCTTGACAGCAGGGTACTTGTGTATATGCCAGCATAAAGCTCTGGGTTCCACTGCTACACCACCAACAACAAAACCCTGCCACAAACAACATATCCATATATTCCCCCACAGGAATGTGCGCCATTAGACCAGTGTCCTGGCCCTCTCAGAGCCCACATACCATGGAGACCACAAACAGAAGTGTCTTCTTCCCCAGCTAGAAAGCCTTATGTTTAGCTTTGTCCCGCATAAAACCATTAACTGAATTTTTAATGAAGCAAAGCTCCATCTTTCTCCACCTTTCAAAATTCCGTCTTCTGTGAGGCCCCCAAGCCTGGTCCCTAGGAACTCTGTGTTTAGGCCTCAGGACACATCCTCTACTCCCTGGTAATCAGGAGAAAAAGACTCCATGGCTATTCAGTAACAGGGTAGCTTAAAATAAGAGAAAGAGAACACAGCTCTGAGCAAACACCAGGGGCTAATAGAATTGTAATCTATGTGCACCTTTTATTCTAAATAAAAGAAATTTAACACTTGCCTCCAATATTGAATTCTTGTGAGGTTCATTCACTTTTCCAGCCAGACAGCAGTGAGAGATGGCATTGTGAATAATTGGTTTGTTTGATTTACTACTGGGCTCCTTAAAGAGTTTAGGACCTAAGGAAACGAGATCAAAATTTGCAAAATTAATAACAAAGGTCAAACACACACAAAAGGGCAACACTTTTCTCAGCAGAAAAATACAGAAAGCTTCAATCATGGACAGTTATGCATTTTTGAAAACAGATCATAAAGACCTCTTCAAATCTACTCAAAAGAATTTGCAATTATAAATTTTAAAAAAAAGGAGGCAGATTAAAGTAACTATAGCTACTCTCTGACTTGAGTCTTTTTATTATATAAATTACAAACCCAAAAACCTGAAAACCTAAGGTTCCAAGTGCCCAGGATGTGTGATCCTGCTTTAGCTCCCCCCTAAAAAGTAGTAGGGACTTGGCATTATTTACTGCCCATGAGACAAATGTGAGGACAGGTCAGGATCTCCCTGCTATAGATACCTGGCATTTAGATACAGCTCTGACACTGGATAAATACTTAATTTCAAAAAATACCTTTTGGCCAAAATAAAGATGTATTTTAAGGAGTGTTACACTTGGGTGCCCCTGTGCCCAATATACTCTAAAGAGGGTGTGTGGCTGTTACCTGTGTACTCGGCCACAGAGGCCAAAGAAGAAGCTGCCGATGCAGTTTCCCAGTCTCGGTCTGTGCTCCTACTGGGGTTGCGGCTCAGGATGGGTAAGGCTTCCAGTGATTCAACTCTGCAGGTAGAAAATGACAAGATGTTCTAGCTGTACCATGCTCTTCTACTACCATGGCCACCTGTACCACCAGGGCTAGAAGCATGCCCACTGCTGCAACAGGGCCTTCCTGTGAAGGTGGAGGACCTGCTAAGATTTTATTAGCTATTTCTAGAGGGCGCCACCACAGAGTGCAGGGAGTGAATGATGCAGGCTCAAGAACAGAGGACAAAGCACAAGTGACTAACAGCTGTCAAATAAGTGACGAGACCCAGGGAAGGAGGGAGCACAGTGGGGCTAGTTTGAAAACTCGTGCCTCAGATACTCTCTGATTCCTGACAGGTCTGGGCTACACATGCAGAGATGCTATATCAAACAGTAAATACCAATGCTGAAGACTGAGAAAACTGCTTAAAAGGTAGGCTGACGCTCTCTCGGCACGCTGACAGGGCTGAGAGTAGAATTTAGCTGGGTAACCAACTTCCAAAAAAACTAAAGCACTATTCAAGATTCTCCAGGAGTCCTCCACAAATTCTGGGCTACAAAAAGCCACTAGACACTAAGGAGGCAGGAAAATGCCTCTTCACAGACAGCATTCACAGATGCCAATATATGATATCATTCATGTGAACCCTGGCTACAACAAGAAGTCAGAAACATGCAGGGGTTCTTAAACCTGCAGTAAAAATGCACTGATGTCTGGACAGGCACCCACAGCACCTGTAAAATTACTTTGTAACGCAAAGGGGACGGTTCAACAGCTTGTGGAAAACAAATACCACCTTTTTTTTAAAAAAAAAAAAAACTGTTGTCTTTTTTTTTTTTTCCAAGACAGGGTTTCTCTGTGTAGCTTTGGAGCCTGTTCTGTTCTGGAACTCACTCTGTAGACCAGGCTGGCCTCGAACACAGAGATCCGCCTGCCTCTGCCTCCCGAGTGCTGGGATTAAAGGTGTGCATCACCACCGCATGGCTGGAAACACCACTTTTAATGATCCAAATATCCCAAAAGCATTGGGCCCTGCCTGCCTACAACCTGAGAAAGATATTCACACTTCAGTTGAGACCATGTGACTCCATTGGGGCGGGTGGACGAGGAGGCTGCAAAACTGTCAAGATCAGAAGAGATGGTGGACAGTCCTGAATTAACAGCATTTCAACAGATCCAGGCTGGTGTTAGTTATGGGGGCAATAGATGACAGAGGACTAGACAGATTGGGATAAAAAAAAATGATTATTTGACAAGTACGATGGTATGAGATACACAATGAAGTATGTGGGCGATGGGGCTAGGTGTCACCCACTTACTCCTGTGCAACAACAAGTGCACACCTGACAGAGATGCCAAGGGGAAAGAATGAGGGGGGATGTGATAGAAGCTGCCAAGTCCTGGTGGGGAGGTAGGTTTGATTTCTTCCTAAACTCTGTGGAATTGGTTACAAAACATCTCTCCTTCAGCTTGGATCTGGAGGGTTCTCTTTTTCTTGGCTAGAGCACTGAGATGCCATAGCTGCTTGGCCTCCTTACCGGTGAGAAGGTGTGCCCCCTGAATGAACACTCTCAGGTTCTGTTGTTGCTGCAGATGCTAAGGACAGGCTGGAGCCAGAGTGCGTGAGACTCAAGTTATCAGCTGCAGGGACAAGAAAGCGGCAGACTGTGAAGAGCTTTACCAGGCCCATCCCTGCTGCCATAACTCACTGTGGCACGGAGCTTCCCTCTGCCAAACCCAGCCAACTCTCTGGCCCAAACCCTGGATGCCCCTAGCTATCTCAAAGCATCACATTTGGTCTCAACTTCTTAAGCCTGTTTGAAGGGATAATCCCCCATTACCCTGCCCGCCTCACTCAGGTCTCGAGAAATTACAAGGAGATAAAGAAGCCGAGCACTAAACAGCAAATGCAGCGTGGGTGCTGGATGAGGCTGCTTACGGGTGGAGGAACACTTGGTTCCAGAGTCACTACAGGACTCTTCTCGGTGAACTGACTTTGGCCGAGGCTTTTTAGGCTTCGATTTAGGTTTGCCAAGTCCTTGCTCCTCCAAGGCCTGCTGCTGCTTCCTCCGCAAGTATTCCTGTTTAATAAGCTCTCGCCTGGCCTTTTCCTCCTCCTTCCGTAGTCGATCCTCTTCAGCCTTACGCCTAAGAGCAAAATAGATTCACAAGAGACTGGGTCAGAAGCATTCTTCCTAGATAGGAATCTACCAGCCCCACCTCCTGCAGTTCTCCCCAGGGTACTTCTCTGTGGTTCCCACCGCAGATTACTAGAGCTCTGGGAGTATAGGAGCAAGAGACAGTGGTGAAAGGGGTAGGATGGGACTGAATCACCTAGTAGACTCTCTGGAGAGCGCTGGGACCACAGACAACTTATTTCCTGTGCTACACACTTACAGGACTCATAGGGCTGAAAACTAAGGATCATTCAAAGGAATTATCTGACGTAATAGCTGTGCAGATGTGTACTGTCATGGCTAGTAAATGGTAAGTGGCAAGAGCAGGAATGAGGAATGAGTGAAGGGGCTGTGAGATGCTATTCCAACTTGGGTGTGCCAATCTGGCCCTGTATACCATCTATAGGCATGGCTATGCTGTCCCACTGGACACAGCTGGAGGCTGCTGAGGAAGAGGTTACCGGGCTTCATCTCGCTTGAGCTCCACTTCAGCCTCCAGCTGCTGCTTGCGCGCACGAGCCTCTTCAGCCTTGCGCTGCTGTTTCAGAAGGAAGGCTGCCCTCTTCTTAGCAAGCTCATCTTCTGCTTTCTGTTCATCCTACAAAACCCATCACTTTACAGTCAGTGACAATACAAGAAACCCCTTAAACTATCCAATCTAGGCTTACCTTGATCAAGTACAGACTGTAACATACACTTAGAAAATCTGACTTCTTTGGGAGAGAGGGAGACAGGATCTATGTAGCCTGTTTTGGCCTCTCCATGCAAACCAAGCTGGGTTCAGACTCTGTCTGCCTCTGCTTGCCAAAGGCATGCACTACCACACCCAGCTCTGACACCTTAATTAATGAATGAGCTTAACATATGTGCATAACTGTGACACAAACAGAAAAAAGTCCAAGCCATCAAATCGGCCTCAGTTAGATGACCTTCCACATGGCCTGCACCAAATTCAGTTTCCCTGCAAAACCACACATTTCTCCACAAACTGAGCTAATGGCAATGTGACTGCATTCATACCATACAAAGAACAAATGGGAATGAAGAGATGGCTCAGCAGAGAAAAGGTTTGCTGGGCAAGCATGAGGATCTAAGTTCAGATCCTCAGAACCCACCAAAAAGTCAGGCAGGAAAGACAGCCTGCCTATAATCCCAATGAGACGTAGAGATAGGGAACTTGTACAGCAAACTAGCTAGCCAAGCTAAAATGGTAAGCTCTGCATTCTGTAAGACACCTTGCCTTAGTATATAAGGGACTATGGACATATTACCCTGAACTCATCCCATCACGTCTAATACATAGGGTGGAGAACAATCAAGGAAGACACCCAATATCAACCTCATGCTCTCTGTCTCTCTCTCACACACACACACACACACAAAACCACAAATATCAATAAAATGTGAGTCTTATAAGGCTGAGACTATGCCATACGGTCAGGAGAAAACAGAATGGTTAGGACACAAGAGCAACCCCGGAACCCACACTTCTCTGCACCTCTGAGAAAGTGTAGGGCAGAGAAGCAGAGGTATTTGTAAAGCTTCTCTGCAGCCTGGCTTCCATGCCAGGGGTGGGCAAAGTGCAGCACGCAGGTCGTATCTGGCCTGGATGTCTTTGTACAGTTTTCAAGTTCTGAGCACTTTTTACCAAAATGTCATCCAAAAATCAAGTATTTCAAGACCCATGAAAATTATCAGGTTCTAGGGTGTGCTGCCTGTAACATCTGACCCTCAGGATGGAGGCTTCTGTACCCACAAAGTTAAACATGTTTCTCCCCTGACTTTTTATGGAGTCAGCTTAGAACAGGAGTTCTTGAGACGCCCTCATATGCGAGGTGATGTAAGCACACCTCATGACCACTCACCTTGAAGAAGAAACCAACACCAGGCTTCTGGTCGCCATCTCCACCAAGCTCTGCTGAGCTTTCATGGCCAACCACCTCCCCATCCTCGTCAGGGGCCTTCAGGTCAGAGAGGTCCACCTCAATGAGGCTGGCCTTGCTCCTCAACGGCTCTTCCATCAGGGTGTGTTCTTTGCCTGAGATGGCAGAGGAGCTCAGCCCCGCCTCTTTCACACTTGTATCCAGACCCTCTTTAAAGTTCATCTGTTCTGATACAATGTTTGCATCTTTGCAAGAGGACTGAACTAATATCCGATGGTTGCTCTCATCATGGAGCCTGTAACTGTCAAAGAGACACTTCTCAGGGGGTTCCCCACCTGGGTCGGAGGGCGACCGTGGATGGGTGCTTGGGGGCAAAGATCGAGGATGTGGGAGTGTCTCCATACTGGGTGTTGGGGTTTTGCTCCGGGAACAACTCTGCTGTCTGTCTTTTGGAACCTTCAATTCAGCTGGCCTTCCCGGACGGGAGTTCCGGCCTTGGCCAAGCCGCGGGGGTTTGCGGTGGCCAGGCACACCAGTTGGAGAGAGTGGCTCAACAAAGTGGACTGGGGCCTTTACCTTTTGGTCCTGGCAGTTATTTTTAGCGCCTGGTGTTGGCACTGTGGGAGACTTCATGAGAAGTTGCTCCTGCTGCTGGGAGATCTTCAGTATAGCCTGCTGCAGTGTACTGATGGTCTCATTCAGCTTTTCGATAGACAGGTCACACTCAGTCACATCTACCTCGCCGACACTGTCCTCTAGGAGAGCAGTGGAAATCACTCTGTGCTTCTCGCCTTCATGCAGAGAAGCTGGGTCCCTGGGTTTATGCAGCTGGACAAATGCCATATCCTGAGACTCACCGAGACCTCTTTGATCTTCTTTGACGAGGAATCCTTCAGTTTTACAAGTGCCATCATCCAAGTCCTCCCCATTGTGCTGTGTGAACTCCTTAGTGAAGTGTTCGGGCCTCAGTGGCTGTGGGGCACCATCAGCCTTCCCCTTCTTCACAACATGCAGAAAGGCTGCCTTGCCCAGTTTCAAACGCTGCCGCGCAGACAGCGCCTCCATCTTTTTCTTCTGGGCTTCAATAGCCCTGCGCTTTTCCTCTAGCTGCATGTGTAGCTGCACCAGCTCAGAAGCCAGAAGACTGGCAGGGTCCTTGCTGTGCCTGCCAGGGCTCTGCTCCCTCTTCTGGCGCCATGTCGTCAGAGGAGCTGGGCAGCTTTCAGATGCATCTGGGGTAGTCTTCTGCGAGCTGCTGGTGCTGGACTTGGTCTCACAGCTGTTGAGCCGTTGGAGCTTCCTTTCGGCAAAGCTGGTCATCTTTACACTGCCACTCGCCATGGACATGCTGCTGAGTTGAGAGGTCGTACTCAGACATGGGCTTGATCGGCCGCTGGCATCATCCTTGTCTTCGTGTTCTTTCACCTTCATATCCTCTTGTAGTTTGGCTGATTCTTCCTCACCAGCGTATCTGGGGATAACCACAGGATGGTCCTCACCAATGAAATCCTGCTCTGCATCCTCTACGTCTACCACATCAGAGTCGGAGTCCTGTCTCAGGATAGTCCAGGGTTCTGAGTCATGGGAGCTGGGGCTCTGTGAACCAACATACCACCTCCCTTCATCTTCCTCAGCCCTGCCTACATGGAGGAAGAAGCCATCAGCAGTCTGTCCCTGAGGTAACGGATCAAATCTACCCATGGCCAGAGGCTGCCCTTCTCCTGCAGCTTCTGCTGACTGTGGTCCTACCTCTGCAGGATCAATGCTTGCAGCAAATTCTGAACAAGGAATTGGGGTGAAAGTTCTGTTCAGGTCACGACTGCCATGGTTACCAGTCACTTTCTTCCGTACCAGAGGCTGGGAGCCCTCACTAGGCCTCTTGGACATGGTGGTCCTTGGCCTCCCTTCTCCAAGCTCATCTTCCTTAGTGATAATCTGCTTCTCTTTGGCTGGCCGAAGTACTGCTGGCATCAGGGGCTCTAAATAAAAACTGTCAGGCTTACTCTCCAGAGTGTCAACCTGTCTCTGGGGAGATCTGACACTTGCTACCAGGCCTGGGGCCTGAGGTGAGGTCCTGGGGATCTCTGGGGAATGAGGAGATACATCTGTCCTGATGATGGCCACAAGTTCTTCCTCCTCATCCTCAATGTTGACATTGCTTAGGAGGCTTTTCCCGTTCGTCTTTCCAGCTGAAGGATGGGGTTGATTCTGTGGGGTAAGGTGGATAATGTTGGATGCCAAGCTATCTTTGCTGATAGAGCGGGCCAAGCTGATACTGTCACCAGAGCTGGGGTCCACGTCACAACTTGCAGCATGATGGAGAGCAAAGGGTGTTGGCTGGGACACAGGCCTGAAACAAGGGGAGAAACTCACTGTTTAAATCCTGAGGGAAAGGAGTTCAAGGTATGAAGAGAGAGGGAGAATACCAATCTTCCACATAGAAGAATTATATAAAAAATGCTCTAGGGCAAAAGAGCACCAGAGGCAACTTCAAGTGGGTGAATGACTCAAACATTTTTCTCCCAGCACCCCTTCACATGCCCTTTAAAGTAAACAAAGTTTCAATGATCCTTGATTTACTAAACTCAGCACACTACAAATGAAAGCTCAGATACTTTTTAAACCCTGAGTAAATATCACAAGGAACTTGAAAAATAATAATATATAAAACACATGTGTGTGTGTGTGTTTTAAATAATAATAATGAAAGACCTATAGTGTAGGTGGCACTACTGCTACTACAGACCTGACATCTGGCAGACTCTCACATCTCACTCTATTGCTGGGACATCACAAATCACAGAGCCGCTCTGCAAGTACATAGTGGCTCATAGGAGAGGCCGAGCACAGAATAGAGCAAGCATATACTGGCACTGTTGCAAAAACACTGGCTGCCAGCTCCCTGAAGCAGCTTGGCAAATCTTTAAGGGTCCCTGAAACACATCTAAGAACTGTTGCTTAGTCTAAAGGACACCTAATTATAAACAGTTCCAAGTTACTCACCTGTTTTTTTTATCTGGCCATGCTACTACTGCCCCTCGTGGCTGACCATCAACCCGAGTTAAAGAATTCGATCTATGTCGCTGATCTGTAGTTTGGAGGAAATAAGCACAGTCAATGTTAAGGGACCAACTCTGTACCACTTGTAAATTCTTTTAATGTAACAGCCATTTCTCTGGATAATAAACCCTAACTCAGTCTACAAGGGCACTCAGGAAAGCAGATAACCAGAAGAGTGCAACTTCCAGCTACTCCAGCAAGTGAAGAACAGTGCAGTCAGTGCAGAGTACTCAGGATGCTGGGCAGAACTTAGCAGATTTGAAATGACATTTATACCACAAGACTATAAATTCTGAGCTGTAGCAATACAAACTAAAATTTATCCTGCTAGGGCTGGAGAGCACTGGCTGCTCTTCCAAAGGTCCTGGGTTCAATTCCCAGCAACCACATGGTGGCTCACAACCATCTATAATGGGATCTGACGCCCTCTTCTGGCCTGCAGGTATACATGCAAGCAGAGTATTCATATATAAAATAAATCTTTAATATATATGTATATATATACATCAGAAAAAATTCCTGCTATTATTAACTAAAATGGATACATATTAGATCAAGATCATTCAATTTTGAGTAATATTATTTTACTAAACTATGAAAGTAAAAAGTATCAAAAGGGAAAACAGAAGTGAATCATGCTCTCACCGGGGACGTCCTCTGCCTGTGACACTTTTTGCTGTTTCTGCCTCAGTGGCAACAAAGGATGAGATGGACTAAATGTGGAAGCTCCTTTCCCACTAAATAAAAATAATTCAGAGAAAATAATGAGTTTATCAAACTTCTTCAAGTTCTAAAGCAAAAGTAGAGGGTGGCAAGATGGCTCAGCTGAGCAGGGCACTGGCAGAGAAAACCTGACAGCCTAAACTTTATTGCTAGGTCGCACATAGTAGAAGGAGAGAACTTATTCCTATAAGTTGTCCTGACTTCCATATAGATGCTATGGTATGTGTGTAATAAATACACACACATACACAAATTCATATACACAATCAATCAATATGAAAGTAAAAGGCAAACACATACAAGTAACAGAAACCATTATACACTTGTACTAAGCTGGGAGTAAACAGTTTTCTCTGAGAAAACAGTTCCCATAAAACTGAACCAAAAGAAAACCAACAAAGTTTTGAATCTGAGATAAAAATTTCAAAATTGGACTGGAGAGATAGCTCAGTTGGTAAAGTATTTGCCATGCAAGTTCAACTGCCAGTACCCACCTAAAAAAGCCAGGCAGAGCAACATGTATCTGCAATCCTTGCACTAGAGAGGCTTGTTGACCAGTTAGTCTAGCCAAATCAGTGAGCTTAAGAGACCTTATCTCAAAAGATAAAGTAGAATGTGGTCAAGAAAAACACCAACATCAACTTCTGTCCTCCTTGCACAGGTACATACATACATGTGCACAAACATTCACAAATCCCAAAGCTGCAAACAGAGATCATACAACTTCTGGCTGCAGCATCTGACATAAAAACTCAAGTGACTATCACAAAAGAGACCTGCAAGGGGACAGGAGTGGGGGTAGAGACGATGCATATGTATATATGAAAATGTCACACTCACAAGCCAGGCGGTAGTGGCACAGGCAGTCAGATCCCTGAATTCTTGGCCAGCCTGATCTACATAGCAAGTTCTAGGCCATCTAAGGCTATATAGTGAGACCCTATCTCTAAAACACAAAAGTAAACAGAAAGACCACAAAGATGATTCCACTATACAAACTAACTGAAAGTGCTGAGTGTGAGCATGAGCCTACATGGACAAGTAGGGCATTCCCACAGAGCCGGGAGAACATACTCACATTTTACAGAACAACAAGGAAACAGACACAGAAAATCCACAACTATTCACACCTTTTCTACTTTTTCAATCACAGGTTGAATAAAAGAGAATTCATGGCTGTGGCCATAAGGACACTCACTCACAAGAGACCAATGTGTGCTGCATAAGCACTGACCAGCTGAGCACTGTCCCACGCAGCTACAGTAGCCTGACACCCAACCATGGGGGATGGCACTAGCTGGCCCAACAGGAAACACACACTGCAGCGTAGCTATTTTGCTATTTCACTTTGGGGAGGAACTTGGCTAAGGGACAGTAATAAAGTGTGGGCAGGAATCACAGAGGCATACCCAGGGTTGTAGTTACTATATGGTTAAGCCCAAAAGACAAAGACAGGGAAAGGTTCTTCAGAGATGGAGGAGACACAAGGTAGAGAAGGAGACAAAAGGAGCAAACTGCACAGAAAGGGTGAAAGACATAGGGACCCCAGAGGAGCCCAGCAGAGGCAGGAGAAGACTTCCCGGCAGAGGGTAAAGGTTACAAACCACCCATAGCACAACGACCAGCAAAAACCAAACAGAATAGAACCAGAATGTATTACAGTGTACAGCTGCTCAAAGGAAGAGACTGATGAATGAGAAAACTTCACAGTCACTGTTAGGTAGAAAAGGTCGCTGAGCCAGTGCACATGTGATACCAATGCTGCTTTAACCAACTTCCATGCACACATACAAGCTGCATGTACTAGATCTGACCATAAAGATCCAAGACCAGGACTGAATGCAAGGACTGCAGCAAGAATACCCAGGTACTCACATAAGGAGCCACGCGGCTGTGCAGCTCTGCCCTTGAGATGCTGTCACATCTCAGCCATCATCTGTACCCATGGGCTCTGAGCCATACACAGCATTCCATTTCCGCTCCAAAGATCTGATCCTGTCAGTGAGTCTCAGCCCTTAACACTCCAAGTACCACCTGACATACTTCGTGCCCTCTGAACACTCTCTTCCTGGTCCAACCCTCTAGCATCCTTAGTGCCAGTGTCAGAAAGCTGAACATTTTAAAACTATGTTTCCATTTGAAAATACTCTCTCAGACTCTCCTTCCATACAAGCGGCTCAAACCCCCTCTGAAAAGAGCTCTCTCATCCTTATCCCACACGCCCATTGACCTGATTGTAGCCAATCAACCAGGATCCAGTCAGCTAAATTCTAAGTCTTAATGACAAAATCAGTTCTCAAAAAAACACTGAAGAGGGGCTGGAGAGATGGCTCAGCGGTTAAGAGCATTGCCTGCTCTTCCAAAGGTCCTGAGTTCAATTCCCAGCAACCACATGGTTACTCACAACCATCTGTATGAGGTCTGGTGCCCTCTTCTGGCCTGCAGGCATACACACAGAAAGAATATTATATACATAATAAATAAATAAATTTATTATTTAAAAAAAAAACACTCAAGAGTTCCATTTACTGTCTCATTGTGAAGGCCATTGCTCACTGAAGTAGACGAACCAGTACTGATCAAGGTGAGCATCCTCAATCAGATTACATTTCAGAGCACACTTGGACTGTTGCTCAGACTCTTCTCATTAGACCACTCATGAAGCTGTATCACTGTGAAGAGACAACGCAGAAAACTCCTTTTTTGTCTCCCGAGACAGGGTTTCTCTGTTAAATAGTCTTGATTGTGCTGAAACTTGCTCTGCAGACCAGGCTGGCCTCGAATGCACAGAGATCTGCCTGCCTCTGTCTCCCAAATGCTGGGATTAAAGGTGTGCACCACCACTGCACAGCTGAGAAATCTCCTTTCTATACTACAGTTTAATGTATTTAAACTGTTTTGATTAATTTAATTTAAATTGTATTGATGAATACTCTTATTTTAAAACCCTGGAATAGACAGGAGGACAGCCAGCTGCAGAAGATAGTCAGGTACTTTCTGCATTACCTACTTCAACAAATAGTTTTGGCCTCTATAAGAAGGAAAACAGAATGGCAAACTGACCCCAAAAGCAGTATGACAGACTCACAGACACTCGGGCTCCTCCGAGTGGAGGTGGTACCGATGGCTGCCTTCAGAGAGAGGCTGAGTGGGTGCTGGCAGGTCGGCGGGGCTCATGGCAGCAGGGCTACCCAGGAAACTACGTTTGGTTGCATTGGAGATGGGGACAGGAGGCCGGCTGCTCTTCTGCTGCAACACTGCTTTAGCTGCAGAAATGACAATTGCACAGAAATACATCTATTACTTATAGTTACAGTATCAGCAGGAAACAGAAAACCTGTAGCTTTTATAACCATAAAAACAACCCAACTTCTACTTAAAACCAAACTTCTCAAAATTGATTTTAACAGGTGAAGCCATAGGCTGACCCTCGAAGACTATTACAAATACCTAATTTAAAGACAACACAGACTGGAACATGAACAGACAGGAAAGGGCACCTTGGCCTTTATAGTTATATGGGCTTCCTCAATCCTCTGGGCTTTCAAGAAAACGCTATGATCACTCAGTCACCACTCACCATCCTTCAGTTCTTGAATATCTCGGGGCTGCACGAAATCTGGTTTGACATTCTCAAACCACCAGAAGAGCTCAGCAATAAAAACCATAACGTTCGGCTAAAACAAAACACAACAACCCAGACACAGTAAGGACCTGCTCAAAAGCAGCTGGTTTTAAGCACATGTCTGATGGTAGCTTTACCTTCAGCACTAGGGGAGCATACAGCATGTCCTCCAGGGTGAGATAGAAACACTTGTTCAGATGTTCGTTGGAAAACTCCCTCAGAAGCCGGATGTTATATAGGCTGTCAGCCATAGACGGAACCTCCTTCAGGCAAATATCTAGTAGATAGTCAGGTAGACTGTATTATGACATGCACATTCTGCTCACAAGGGTGTGTGTAGATACACAATTCTGAACTGAAACTTTACGTAGCAGGGGTGGTGATAAAGTAGGCAGGATTAAGGAATTTTAAAAGATAGTAAGTTTCACAGGTGATGTAAACGTAAAAAGAAAATATGGGAAATCTCCAGAATCTGCCTTTATAACATAAATTGTATGAGAGTTCCAGACCGGATTCCTAAAGTGAACAGTGGTAGCTGCAGCTAGAGGTTAGTAGCAGAGCACTTGCCTGCCACGGGCAAGGCACTGGGTTTCATCCCCAGCATGAGGGCAGGCAAAAGATGAACAGTGGAAATCACCTCTAGAGAGATTTGTTTCCGGGTCCACAAGATGGCTCCCCAGATAAAGACTCTCACCCTGCAATTCCAACTTCCTGAGTTCAATCCCCAGGATTCACAAAAAGGTAGGAGAAAACCAACTCCAAAAGGCACTCTTTCACCTCCACATTTGTGCCATCACACCAACATCCACATATATAAATAATATTCAAATAATTTTTTAAAATGTCTGCGTTTTCTTCAGCAAGCAGATACTCTGCCTGAGGTTAATATATTTGCAAAGGGTGGGGGCTAGGATATGCACACAATTACAATTGTCAAACAAGGTCTCTGATTCTCCAAATGAAGACTACACATAGTACAAGCCTCCTCTACGAAGAGCAATGATCCTTCCAACCTCTCAGGTAGGAAAATTCAGGAAAGCAGACCCTCCGCTGGGAAATGTGGTACAGGCAGTAAATAAGGACCCCCTGAAAGGGCCTCTAGTGTTTGTCCGGATGCTCCTTAGTAAAAGTCAGTAAGCAGCAATTGTAGGATCACAAGACAAATGCACCAAGGCCTCCGAGTATATGCCACCTTTTAAAGCGGGGGGGGGGGGGTGTTCAGCATAGTCAAGAACAAAAATAAGAAAAAAAGGGGTTTTTTTTTCTTCGTCTTCTTTTGCAAAGATCTCAAATGCTGTCTTCCAGTCTAGGTCATCAGTCCAAGAACAGGGCGTGTCAGTATCAAGTGAGGTATTGTCACCTGGTCATGAAATACTGTTTGCAAAATTCCTGACTGCCCAGTCCTCCCTGTTCTCAACACACAGCTCTCTACTGAATGTCTTTTTCCTGTGGTTTGTGTGCTGTTCTGTGTTCCAAGTGACTGCCCTGGGCCAATGCCACACTCCAGCCAGTGTAAAGTCAAACAAAATTTAACAGTTATAGAACAAGGACCCCATGTTCTTATTCTTCAAAATTAATGCAGCTAAAAATTTGTAAAAACGTAACCAACAACTATGATGAGAGAAATTGAATCTAACACAGGCTATTAGATGATGAGATTGTAACAAGAGTTCAACTCATGAATCAACAAACAGACATACTGGAAGGAAAAAGACAAAGCTATCCCTGCAGAATGACAGGAAATGAGGCTGAAAACTCCAGTGGTAAAATCCAGATAAGGAGGGAGATGATATATGAAGATCCATATTCCAAGAGTCTCCCCCATAAAGGATTCAGCAAATCATGAAGCATCAATCACTTCTCTTGAGGGGGTCTTAAGAGGCCAGCACAGCACCTTAACCAAGAGCACAGTGGGCACAGATGCTGGGATGCACACTGTAGTCTGAGGAAGGCAGAGCATAAGGCAACACCAAACCAATCAACCAGGGGGGACAAGGGACCAACTCAACAGCCTGAAAATCAAGAGAGGCAAAGGCTGGGCACTGTGGCTTCAGGGAGACTGCAAGGCCTAACAACTGAAAACAGTGAGTGAAGGGTGAAAGGCCATCGCTGGACAGTTGGCAAGCCTGGACAGGGTCTCAGATAGCATGCCTCAGGACTTCCCTGAGCAGTGAACACACCAGCGCTGCCAGGAAAGCCTCTGTTCCCTAAGCTACTCCAAACATAAAAGTGAAAAGTCTCATCCTGGGAAAGCTAGATTTAAAAAACAAAAATTCCTTGAGCCATCTGCTACATATTAAACTTATGCCAAAATAAAACATTACAACTTTGCCCCTGTGTTGCCTTGTCAATCCTGGTTAAAAACAAAACAAAACAAAAGTATTGCTCTGGGCAGTCTCTAGAACTGCTGCCTGTGATTGGCAGGGTGGGCTGAGGGTCAAGGGTCTGGGCAAGCTGGGAGAGCTGGGAGCTCCCCCCACACACACCTCAGCCAAAGGGCCACAAGATTCTAGCTGGAGGTCTACAAAGAAGCAGAATCTTGTGAGAAATGTGAGTGTGGCTCAGCCTGTGGAGGAGCTGAGGTGCACAGGTGTTGGTGTGCTTCGTGGGCTGAGTCTGTGGGCATCCTTGGCACTGACACTGCAGGGCCTGTGTTCATGTGTGCATCATCAGCCTCTGCTCCAGACAGGGTGGCTTTCCCCAGTCTACCACAGTGAGGAACAGCAAAATCTTTGTGACTTTGGTTTGGATGTGGCAGGAGAGGGGCCCTCAGTCCCTCCAGCATTTGGGTCTGACACGACTAAATATGTGGCCGTGGGGATTCTGTGGCAAGTTAGTCATGGCCTTACAATAGAATCTGCCACACTCCCTCCAGAGAGCTCCTGGGTCCGAGGTGCTTCTGAGCATATTCTCATCAGTGTTGACTTTTACAGGCAGAAGTGTCTGTTTCTGTCTGGCATGACTGGCTATTTTGGATATTTCGGTGGCTCAAAAAAAAAAAAAAATTGGCACTGTTGATTTTTTTTTATATCAGACATAAGGTTGTGCACGGGTATATAAGGAAGTGAGTCAGTAACTGCTTCAGAAGCTTCTGCCTAGCGGATTAAGCTAGATTGTAGAATAGAATCCATAAACATCTGACTAAGAAATTTGTCTGAAATGTTTTGTGAATTCAGGAAACATTTTTTTTTCTGCATTACTTTTTAAAAAGAGGATTCATTTTTATATTTAAAAAGGTAACTGATGACTGAAAAGAAAGTACTTACTGGACTGGCAATATATTTACAGAACAGCAAAGAAATTATAATTTTTGGGATACTGCCTCTCCCCATCTAAGAATGTGAAGCCTCTTCTAAGAACTACAGAAAGGTTCAGGACTAACTGGGCTATCACCAGGGTTCCTCTTTGCCTCCTGGTGCAGTCAGCCTACAGGACACAAGGTACTGGTCCTGTTCATATCTGGTCCACAGCTGGGGCAGCCTGTAGACCACAGCATCTGCCAGGTAAAATTACATCACTGCAGGCCAGGAAGTACACCTACTAAGCTAGTTGTGTTTAGTTGTGTAAAACGCAGGTGTAAAGGTTTCGAGTCTTGTCTTCCAACATTTTACACAAGGTTTCGATCTGTGCTGACCAGACAAGCCAGCCTTAACTATCTTCTGAGGTCTCTTCCCAGTAAGCCAGGGATAACCCTCTTACACAGAGACCAACAGCATTCCATCTTCCCTACTGTCTGACACAATTTATAAACCACAGAAACTGCCAACTTTTTACAAGTATGGGAAATGCCCCAGCAAAAGTTCCCACAAGAAGTCAGACCACAAGGATGTCCTTCTTGATGTCTGAGTCCATCTGCCTTGTAGTCATGAGTCTCTAGCTCTCCATTCCTCCTTCTCCTCCAATACGCTGTTTGTGTCAGAACACTGTCAACATACTCAGCACAGAAATACTCTTCATATTTTTATTTGATGTCTACTAGACCTGAATTTATGTTGTTTTGTTTTCTGCAGTTTTTATTTTGCCCCCTTTTATTGACTAAGCAGTCTGGAAAATTATCTATTTTATTAATTTGTCAAAAGAACAGCTTTAAGTTTTACAGTTTTCTCTTCAAAACATTTAAAATGTTTCTATTTTACTATTTTACTCCTAAATTTACTTTTTTATTTTTATTTCAACAAGATACATTGTCTTTTAAATTCCACAAAGAAAAATGAAGTGTTCTATGTCGCCTCTCCCCAGCAAACCTGGAGTACAGAGGTGTGGGGTGGGGGCACTAGAAAGAGCAGGCTGTGTTGCTTCCAGGACTTGGCCAAGGGTTCTGCTGCTGTCATACAATCTCCTAGTCTGTGTAACCTGCTCTGCCTCCTCACTAAGTTATTTGGGGCCTTCCTAGTGTATACACCACAGTCCTTTGATTAGACACATTCAGAAGATTCTTAAAATTTGTCTATGCTCATCCCAGGGACATCTACACTTCCCTTGGCTAAATCTTCTCTATTCTGTTAGTTCCTCCTAAATTGATCTCATTTTTCTAGTTTCTCCTTTACTTCCATGTCTTCGCTTTTTTGTTCTGTTTCCTGGGAGATTCTTTTTTCTACTTAGCCATCTAACTCTTTAGTAGACTCTTACACTTCAGATACCAAAATGCACACACTTCCTCAGAACTATATGGAAACTAATGTGGACAGACCATATGATTGTTTTCTAAATGCCCATTCCCAGTATTCATTCTTAGCAACTAGATCCCAGCTTCCTTACTGCTGTCTGTATATTCTGAACTATAGCTACACTCGGGGGATTTTCTCAAATGTCAGGGGAGCACCCTGGGCACCCCTTCACTGTTAGAGGAAGGCATTAGGAAGTGGCCTTTGCTGCAGGTGACCAATATAAAAAACCAGCTAATGCCAAACCTCAATAACTGTGGATCTTGTCCTTAAGACAAGTTTCTGCGAAGAAAACGCCTTCCCTGTGTTGCATGTGGAACAAGTAAAAGTCTTAATGAAATCCAGCAAGGAAGTAAGGCTTAATGATACAGATGACTGGAGGAAGCTCACACAAAACCTCTGGTCACCTCACTGCTGCCTGTCCCATGCTGAAGTCTGAGACTATGACTTACAGGCTCAGTCTCCCCCAAGTGTGTTATATCCCCAGTCTTTGGACATGGAGGGTATTGCTGGAAGCAAAGGGGGACCCTGGCTCTCACCGATCTTCAGACTGACTTTCAAAGACACCCCCATGTATGACTGCTAGCCAAAGTCCTTCCATCTTCCTGTGGCAGCTTCAGAATTCTGGCTGGTGAATTGCACTGATTCTCTGGCTTGACCTCCTCTGTACTTCTTCTGTTTTACTTCTTGGCTAGCCAGCTCCTTAGAGCCTAGAACTTCAGTTGCTCACTCTACAGACAGTCACAAAACTTCATTTTTCTTCCCTTTACTTTTCTCTGGGATTGTGTCAGATTTTTTTAATATTTATTTATTTATTATGTATACAATATTCTGTCTGTGTATATGCCTGCAGGCCAGAAGTGGGCACCAGACCCCATTCATTATAGATGGTTGTGAACCACCATGTGGTTGCTGGGAATTGAACTCAGGACCTCTGAAAGAACAGGCAATGTTCTTAACCTCTGAGCTATCTTTCCAGCCCTGTGTCAGATTTTTTTAGGTTGCTGCAATGAACCTAACTCAAGAGGAAGAAGCAGGAGGATCTCTGTGAATCTGAGGTTACCCTGAGATCCAGGACAGTCAGGGCTATGTAGAGACCTTGTCTCAAAATAGACAGAGAAGCAAACAAAGCAGACAAGTGGAGACGGAGCTGTAGATGTAAAAGGAGATGGCAAAGCACAACAGGCAGTAGTGCGTCTCTAACTCTCAGAAGGCAGGAGGAACACATGTTCAAGGGAAGTCTAGAATACCTAGAGCTTCAGGTCAGCTGGAGCTGCAGTGCAGAAAGGGAAAGCCCCAAAACTCTGAGCTGGAGTGCCCGCCCTACCCTCTTCCCTACCACTTCTATTTCTTTCTTTATGTCCCCCCGTGTTTTAAGCAGTCTATGCTCTTCCACCTAAGTCTTGGCCTTAAACCTGTGTGACATTTAAGAGCTCCACTGAGGCACATTTCCTTGGAAAATGTGGTTTCTAAAGATGGGCCAGAGTGTTGCTAACACTAAACCAGTTTTACTTTCATTGAAGAATCCTGGTGCCTTTGCAAGCTATATATAAGCATTAAATTACTGAGCTATACCCCAGAAAACATTATTCCTTTTCTGTGTGATACAGGAGACTGAGCCCAAGGACTCAGTCATGCTAAGCAAGTGTATACCACTGCATTATTTCCCCAGAATTGTTTTATGTGCATTGGTGTTTTACCACAGTTGGCAGTGCCCTGGAACTAGAATTACAGACAGTTTTAAGCTGCTATGTGGGTGCTGGGAATTGAACTCAGGTCCTCTGGAAGACGGCTGAGCCATCCCTCTAGCCCTTTTCCCTGTCCTACAAGTCACCTCTGTATCTGTAAAGAATGTATTATCTGCGATTCCATGCCTGGAGTAGGCATAACACCAGCCTAAGATGTCCAGGGCTAAAGTCTGAGGCAATGTCCAGTAGAGGCACTAGTGGGGTCCCTAGCCTTCTACCTGCCCACGCCAAACAAAAGGTACTTAGGACACAGAGCCACTGACAACTGGTGCTTCCACATCACCTTAGCAGGTCTGCGCCAAGCCCTTCACAACCACTCACTTTCCTCCTCCCCCTGCAGGACACAATCACCTAGAAAGAGGTTTTTGGGCATCAGGCCAAGGCAGGAAACAAACTGATTCTAGCATTCATCCTTATGTCTTCAGAAAGGTCTACAGACTTGTTTATTTTTGGTCTGACAAGGGGTCTCATTTATTCAGCCCAGGCTGATCTTGGTCCAAACTCAGCCTACCAAATGCCAGAATTACAGGTGTGTGCCACCCTGTCCGGCTTACTTTCTAGGTGTTTCAAAATAAAGGATTTTAAATCTCACTCACTCTGAAACAGAGGCAAAGTCACAAAATACAATGACATATTATCCAAATATCAATGGGCAATTTCCACATCACATACGATGCAGAGATACTTGGTCTCTCAGCATTTCTAGGTATGTGGTAGTATGCCAGCTGATACAGGGACTCCATACTAATTCCTTGGGTTTTCCTTGCATATTAAATGCACACTGTTCCCTTTCAGGTCTGTTCAGGGGAAGCATTCTCCACTCACCATCCAGTTTCATCTGCTCTGGGCAATAATAGTGAACCACCGCTAAGAGAGCAGCGCCATCACTGCCGTCTCTCATCAAGTCCTCCAACAACGGGAAGTAGGGTGACTGCCTAGCGGAAAGGTGCTCTCGCCGATAGCGGACCTGCAGTTGATAAAAGGAAAATGGTCTCTGCGTGTGAGATCACTTCACCCTGTGTATGTTATAGGCACACTGCTAGAGTAAGGTTTACACCAAGCCTAGAGCCACATAAAGACCAACTGTTATTGCCTAGAAAAATTAAGACTGTGTGGATGATATCCTCTGTCCAGAATAAACAAGTCAGATCCAGGACGGGGTCCATGGGTACACTGGATGGCAGAGATCCACTGCTAACACTACCAGGGCCAGTCTAACTCTAAACTGACTCTGGCAGTGGGCACACATGGGAAGGAGACAAAACGCACATCTACACTATTATAAGCCAATGCATTACAAACTAATGAGAAACAAGTTAAACAGTGAGCATTCAGAGCTTGAAAGACCCAAGCTACAGGCACTTTTCTAAGTATTATCAAGATTAGCATTGATCATTAATAAAATAGCATTGATTGCTTGAGAAATTTCAGAAACCAGGTTCAACAAATTTCTCACATTTCCACACCAGTCACCAAGAACTGCAAGAGAAACATCAGGACTAAAACCTACAAGATCATCAAGCAAATGCCAGGCCGAGGCTCCCTCATGTTCACACCTGAGGAAGCCTCCTGTCAGTATTCTAAGCACCATAGTCCAAGCCTCTTTGCCCATGGTCAGAGAGAACTTAGCAAAGAGGGCTGCTCAGTGAAGAGAACTGCCCCAGAGCTGCAGTGTACTGCTCTTGTCTGTGTCAGTGCTCAGGGCAGGATAACCACCAGTCACATTTCCTCCAGAGGGGGCACATACACAACAGAAACTAAAAAAGAAGAAAGCCAGCACCTGTCTATAACAAGAACTGTTGGTTTCTGAGAGTTCTGCAGGTGAATCCAAATCAATTAACCATCTTAGAATCTAGACTTCAAGCTGATGCCGCTACAGAAATTCGAAATAACCAGTAGTGATGCTTGCCAGAAAACACAACAGATCCCCTAGGATTTAGCAACAAGGCTTGTTTTGTGTTGACTGTATATTCCAACATACATTTTAACTTGTTTCTCAGAGCCCATGACATGTACTATCACAGGGAACCCGCCTCATACTGTACCACACGTGCAAAGTCCACAGGTTCCAGCATGCAATGCATCACAGCATGCTCCAGGCCAGGCTTTTACGGAGAGAGCAGACAGGGAGTGAGCAGGCATGCAGTAAAGCAAATGATTTCTTGAGTTAAGATGGATGGTATGGGTAAAAATTAGGCTGACACTGAACTACAGGGGCGCAGGAGGCTCACATGACTGTTTTGCTCACCCACAGCTTCAAACTTCTATTGTGAAACATTCAGATAAAACCCATAATCTGTCGATCTTTGCCACACTTTTTCTTATTGGTCTATTTACTAAACATCAATATAGGACACCCACAGCCTCTCTAACAAAGGCAAGATAAGGGAGATTAATTTTGGTTATATTTCTCTTTTTTCATGAAACTTATCTGAAACCAAACCTCTCTGACACCTGAGTTTGTGAGCCCTTGCCTTAGTCAAACCCAGGACTCAAACACCCGTTAAGCATGCCTTCTCCTTCTAACACATCTTCAGGCAGGACAACCTACGATTACATAAGCTTTTTGTAGCCCACAGCCATGGGTCCAAGTGAGAACCCAAAGGACAATCTGGGCCAAATAATGAAGCTACAGGATCCAAGCAATCAAAGGGCACATTCAAAACCATCTGCAAAGAGATATGTGCCCAAAAGTTCACATGAAAAAGCACCAGTTGGCACCAGGCATATAAGGGCAGTGACAAACTGGCCCACTTCCAGAATTGGTCACTAGTGAGGTACTGCTGAAACTACTAAATATAATCCTGGTTTCTAAAATTTGTATTAAAATTATTTCAGTAGCCCTGCATCTGAACTGACCTAACTCAGATTGCAGAATCTGAGTTGACTTCCATATAGGCCTGAGGGATGGTAACAAGGAACCATATCCAGACACACCAGCAAGAGTACTTTCTGCAGCCCGCCTGTGCCCTCAGTGGGGGAACACCTTCCCAACCTGACAGCCTAGGATATAGGTAGTAGGAAAGGTCATGGTAGAAACCACCTTTCAGGCAAAGTAGCAGCAGGAAAAAAGGTTAAGGATTGATGGCCAGTCACTAGGTCACCGTCAGACTCTTGAGGTCTACAAGGAAAGACTGTTTCCTGTCAGCTATGCTACACTGGTTACTTAGAGATCACTTAGAACCTGGGGGAAATGGACATGGCAATTCCAAAGTGCCACATAACAAAGCCCATCAGCGTGGCCAGCAGGGCTCATGCTAGAGAAGATGTAACACAACCCCCAGGTAGACATTTAAACAAACAAACAAAAACCCAGTCTTGGGTGCGAGCAATTTAATGGAAGCGCATGATGGCAACAAGATGGCTTTGCAGATTGCGGCTGGTGGCCTGGGTCACTTACGGGTACTAACTTCCAATACCACTTGGAGGGAGACTGCTCAGGAAGCGGGAAGGAAGGTGGAAAGGAATGTCAGCACTGTAGGTCCAGGCGTGGCCATGACACACATGCTCACACGAAGAGGTGGAGATAGCCTCTGGTAAGCAAAGGCTTTCCAGTGTGCATGACCTCAGTCGATCACAATACCAGTCAATTCAACTTGAAGATAACTTTTCCCCTTCACAACTCTATCCTTCACAACAGCAAAGAATAGTTCCACACTTGACAAAGTCAGGGACCAGGCTAGAGTTCTGCTCCCTTTGTCTATGCCCATGTGTGTCTGTCCCATCCAAGGATTAGGTAGGCACTCAACCCAACTGACTAGAGCTGGACAATATAGAGAGAAAACCACAAGGGGAGAATACATGTTGCTCTCAGCAGTAAAACTGTGTCAACACCACTGACTATAACACATGGCCTTGGCAAAAGAGAAAATGGCCAGAAATGAGGCCAAAGCCAGAATGTGGGATGAACACACCCATCTGCACCCATTCCAAGGTACACACTTTCCACTGGCTCCAGGCACTGGGCTTCAGACCCCCATCAGCCTCATGAAACCTAACAGGCCATCTCAAGAATCTGCAAAGGCACAGCTACTACAGTTGTTTTCTGCTCAATCTCTTACCTTCAGAAGTTCACTCTCAGCTCAGGCTACATTGTTTCCATTATTGATCCTCCCAAGTCCTCCCAGAATACCCCCTGTTCAAACTATGAACCCTTTTTGGGGGTAGGGACAGAAGACAGGCTGCCCATGGTAACGCCTAATTGAAGCATTGAGAATCAGCCACCAGTAGAATCTAAGAGGCTAGCTTGCTTGGAATGACAAAAATATAGAATGAGCAAGTAGAAACAGACATAATTCTTTACTACTAACATTAACTTAATGTGTTCTGAAGAAATTAAATTTACCCTTTACCTTTTGATGGGCAGGACTTTCCAGTGGCTGCTGTTTTAATTTAACTTCTTTCTCTGTTATCTCTCTCATTTTAAGATTTACCTAAGACAGAAGGAAAATGCATTAAGAAGGCCACTGCTCCCCCATGTCATCCCCTATATCTCCATTTCATCACCGGGAGATCCAGAGCACCTACTGTTAACTCTTAAGACACAAAGATGTAAAAACAGTTGGATTCCATGTGATCCAAGACTTAACAGGACTCACAGGGTCAGCCTGCTCCTGCAAAGAAATCACTGTGCCTCCAAACACCAGTGCAAGGCTCTTCCCTCTCCACTGTGGTCATGAAGGTCAGACCCCATGCACACTGTGTACACAGCTGTCTGCTGACAACCCATAACAATCTACCTAATCTTGGGTCACATCTGACCAGAGAAAGTCAACACAAAATAAAGTTCAACTATAAAACCCAAGCTGTACATCCCTTAAAAAAAAAAAACAGAGACTTAAGTAATCTCTCTTGAAATTAAGATAGTATCAAATTTCTGTTTATACTGGGTTAGTGAGCTAGTTCAGCAGATAAAGCAGCTGTCAATCTAGCCTAGTATCTAGAGTTCAATCCCTGGAACCCATATAAAGACAGAAGGAGAGAGAACAAGCTCCACAAAGTTGTCCTCTGGCTACAACATGCTTGTTGTGTCATATGTGCACCCACAAGTAATCCTGCACACAAACAAAAATGCCTTAATTTGTATTTATAAAATAATAATTTTATTTTGTAAAAATACACATTAATACCTAGAAGTGGTCAGAGTGATAGTTAGGTGAAAATGTGCATGACTGAGTGGCTCATCAACAAATAAAAATACAGTATTTGAACTACATTGTGATACAAATAATAAAAACCCAGAGACAGATATTAGGGTTCAACCTGAAGATCAGAAAAGCTAAACAGCCAACCACTGGCTCTTACCTCTACCTCAAACCAAAATGGCAATCCTGCCTCTAGAAAATCTCAGAATGAGATTGAGCAGAGACCTGTCTCCTCCAGTTTTATATTCCTCTCTAGGGCTGGAATTAAAGACATGCACCACTACCGCCTAGCTTCTATGGCTAACTAGTGTGGCTACTGGAATTAAAGGTGTGCCAAACCACTGCCTGGTCTGTATGGCTGACCAGTGTGGCTGTTTTACTCTCTGATATTCAGGCAAGCTTTATTTATTAAAATACAAATGAAATACCACTACATTACATAATATCAAGAAGGTAGAAAAATCTCTTTAAAACTAAGATAAAGGGGCTAGAGAGAGAGCTCAGTAGTAAAAGCACTACTGAGTTTGAGTCCTGGGTTTAAGTTCCAGCACTCGCATAGTAGTTAACAACTGCTTATCTCTGCCCCACACAGGGTAAGGCCATAGGTGTACATAGTCTGTCTGTCTGTCTATCTCTATGTGTGTACATGTGCTTGTGCTCACAGTGCCACAGTACACACATGGAGGTCAGAAGACAAGTTACAGGAAGCAATTCTCTCCTACCATGTGGATAAGGACCAGTCTCAGGTTGGTAGGCTTGGCAGCAAGGACCCTTATCTGATAAGCCATCTTACCAAGCCAATAGTCAGATTTTTGAAAGAGAGTAAAGCCACTCACAAAAACTAGATGAGGTGGCTCGTGCCTGCTGTCATCTCAGCCCTTGGAAGATGCAGGCAGAAAGATCAAAAGTTCAAGGTCTTCCTCAGCTACAAAGTTGAGTTCCAAACCAGTCTTGGATATATGAGGTCCTTGTTATTACATATATAAAAAAAAATTTTAAAGTACTACATAAAATTCTATCTTTGTACCTAAAATGTAAATTAATTTTGTATTTTAAAGGAAAACATACATTATTTTCAGAATCAAGGAGAATAACCACAGCAAAGCAAACCAAGTGTCTGCTGGGAGCCATACGGCCCAGAAAGCACAGGGGAAAGCATAGCAGCTAGGGCAGGAGTGGGCTGAGAAACAGACAGGAGGGGAAGAGAGGATACAAGACACACACCCCACATTCTGAGGGGGAAGTAAAGCTGACCATGAGAATAGATACTGACTTTTAAAAAATATAATTGGGGCAAGAATTGTCATCTCAGCCCCCAGTGCCTCCTCTTCACCCAAAGACAGATGCTGCCAACCACTGTCTATATCCAGCTGTAGTAGCACCTGAAAAAAAATGTCTATTAAGTCTCTTCCAGCCGGGCGGTGGTGGCGCACTCCTTTAATCCCAGCACTCGGGAGGCAGAGGCAGGTGGATCTCTGTGAGTTCGAGGCCAGCCTGGTCTACAAGAGCTAGTTCCAGGACAGGAACCAAAAGCTATGGAGAAACCCTGTCTCAAAAATCCAAAAAAAGAAAAAAAAAAAGTATCTTCCAGGAAGCCAAGGCTCAAAGAATTCACACCTAGTCTATAAAAACCACTGCAGGAATTACTAGGTGGGAAGGAAACTACAGCTGGACCATCAGAGATCCTGCTGGGATTACACTAGGCAAGGTAGTACACGAAGCTTATCCCAGCACTTGGGAGCTGAGAGCTTGAGGCCCAGTCTGAGCCACATAGTGAGTTCCAGGCCAACCTAGAATAGCAAAATCCTGTCTCTTAAAAAAGGGAGGGATTAGTATAACTCAGTCAGTAGAGTATCTAATATTCACAAGGCCCTAGGTTAAATTCCTGGTACCACATAAAACTAGGTATAACCCTTGGGGTATGAAGGCAAGAGAACTAGTAGTTCAAATTCATTTTCAACTATATAACAATAACCAGTATGAGACTAGCCTGGGATATGCGTACCCCATTTCAAGATATAAATATAGACACACACCTTTAATCCAAGCACTTGGGAAGCAAAGACAGACAGATCTCTGTGAGTTCAAGACTTGCCCGATCTACAGAGTGAGTTCCAGGACAGCCAGAGTTATAGAGAGAGACCCTGAATTAATCAGTCAACCAATAAATAAGCAAGCAAGCAAACAAACCAAAAGTAAATAAAAATATATAGGAGATGGCTCAGTAAGTCCCAGTGTTGAAAGAGGGGTAAGGTGGAAGCTGGTTGGCAAGAAGGCTCAGTGAGTAAAGACACTTGCTACCAAGCCTAACAATACGAGTTCAATCCCTGGAACCCACATAGTAGAATTAGAGAATCAACTTTCACAAGTTGTCCTCTTACCTCTGTATGGCACCATTAGCACAAGCACACATACTTTTATATACAGACAGATAAAATGTAATTTCTTGAGCTGGAAAGATGGCTCAGTAGTTAAGAGCACTGGCTGCTCTTCCAGAGGTCCTGAGTTCAGTTCCCAGCAACCACATGGTGGCTCACAACCATCTGTAATGAGATCTGGTGCCCTCCTCTGGTGTTTGCGCATACATGGAGGCAGAATGTTGTATACATAATAAATAAATAAATCTTTAAAAAATGTAATTTCTTTTAAGTTGAGCATGACTAGGTGCACCTGTGGCTGTAGACCACCAGACCCTGAATCTCCTGTCAACAAACTGTTTTCTTCTGCTCTGAACAGCCTGCAGCTGCTCTGAACTCAAGACCCTGATGGGTCTGCAACTGAAAGATCCTGAGAGCTGGGGCATGGCCAGAGCACAATATAAGCTGCCCTTTATTGAACACAATAAAGGAGGCATTCTTGCTTCAAGGAAGACCTGTGTCACTGTCTGTGTGTGTATGTTTAAATCTCCAGGCCCTTGCCCAACTCGAAAACTGTCTCATAGTGAGTAGTACCATAGTACACGTAGTACAGGCCAACAGTACATGTGGCCCCAACACTGTGGGAGGCAAAGAGAAGAGGATCACTGTAGGCCAACCAGTCTAGCCAAAACCAGGTTCAATGAGAGACCCTGTGACATGGGGATAAGGAAAGAAGAGAAGAAATAACAGACATCTTCCTCTGGTCTCATTGTACACCTGCACTTAACAATACTCAATGCCCCTCCAACAAAGAGAATATCTTCTTAAAATATCAAGACTCTCTTTGTCTTTTTGCAGTGTGGACACCACATGGTCTTTGTGAACTGCTGTTTCTTCACAACCAGGAAGGGCACAAGAACCAGAAAGCATTGGTCAGCAGCAGCCTCCACAGCAACAACCACAGCTAGTACAAAATAACCGAAAACAAAATAAACAAATGACTGCTGAAAATAAAAGAACTAACTAGGTGGGGCTGCCATAAAATGAATTAGACAACAACAGACTCCTAGGAGAAAAATATGTCTCCTATTACCGTGAATATATCACTCTGGTCACAGTAGCCCCTGGCAACCTAACAATGCACGTCATAACCTACAGCAACCCCTATGAAATATTGGAGAACTACAGGTAACCCAAAGAAAGAAAGGAGGGAAGGTTAAAAAAAAAAAAAAAAGACGAGACAACCAGACATCAGGCCAGATGGTAAAATTCAGACACATGGACAATAACACTAATCTAACTGGTCTAAACACTCTAATACAAGTCAGAGGCTATCAAATGAATAAATGAGGATGGCTAACTACAGTGTGTTCAAGAATCCACTTAAACAAAAAGACAACAGAGCAAAAGGGCTGGGTACAGTGGCACACACCTTTAATACCAGCATTCACGAGGCAGAGGCAGGTGGATTCTGTTGAGTTTGGGGCCAGCCTGGCCTACATATAAGTTCAAGGCAAGCCAGGCTATATAATGAGATAAACACACACACATACACAAAACAAGTACAAAGAAGGAAAGAGGTAAAGCACAGGCACAATACTGTTCACAAGGCAGCTAGAAAAAATACTGGGTTCTAAACACAGAAAGCCTCTGGGGACAAGGGCTATTTCTCACTTTTGATAGACACAGCTTAAAGACTAGGGGTTAATTTGTAAAAATGTACAAACCCTAATAACAGACTGAACCTAAGCAGAGCTGACAAAATGAAGCATGAAGTGGACAACACTGCAGCTCCTGTTCCCCTAGAGAATGACCCTCAGGAGTAGGAAGACTGTAACTAGTGAAGGTACCACCAGCTGCCAAGGGGACTCAGTCATCCCAGGGAATTCAAACCATACCACCAAATTAAACTGGAAATCAAAAAGCAGGGGC